ATAAAACGACGCTGTCGAAGAAGATTAGTTTGCGTTTCCACATCGTAATTGTCCTCAAAATACAGATCCGCGTTATTAAACATATTTTCGAATTTCAGTTGATATAATAATAAATATTTTTAAGTATAAATGACACAAATGTCAAATTCGGATGAACGCGCTACTTTTTCCATGAATGGCAACGACATATTTTAGCGAATACGTTCATTCGCCATTCACAATGCAAATTTGGGGTATGTTCGCGTTATGTTCCAAATAAATTCGCTTCGCAAGTAACAATACCCGCCATATTTACGCTAGTTTGTAGGCGAAGATGTTACAGCGGCAAGGGAAGCGGTCAATAGGCGGCCATTCGTTTTTTTTTTGTCGGCACAGCTTGGATTTGCTATCATCACACAAGTGCTGAACCAATGAGCGCGACAGATATTAGAATACACACGTTCGAGTCATTTAAGACTGGACCTTATGGACATCACAATCCTACTTCGGTTTGTATGTGTGACAATAAATGCACGAAACATTACCATCACTAGACGACAATGGCAGAACATTTAGCATTCAATTAACCACTGTTGTTTAATTCACATTCAAAACTCATACTTGAGTATTGTAATTTGGTGAAATCGATAAAATACGTTTGTAAGTACGTCACTCAAGGAAGCAACATGGCGGTTATTGCTCTTGAATACGGTACGGTTGATACGTGAACTGCAATAAAACGCTTTGTAGGATATTTTTTTTTTTTTTTTGTAATTCAAGAACGCGTTCCGACGGTTGCGCGTCTCGCAGTTAATTTGGAGAATGGGCGAAGAGTGTATTTCAACCCAGGGATTACAAAGCAAGTCCAAATAGTAGATGGACATCCAGATGTGTTTTCGGCTACTGCATTAGGACGAATTTACACGGTTCGGTTGCTATTGATTAATGTACGCGGTTCAAATTCATTTGAGGTATATGCAACTTTTTGAGAAGCAAGCCAGCAATTACAATTGTCACTGCAATCAACCTCTGCGAATAGTAGGCACCTTGTMGCGGTGCAGGGGCTTAGGCGCAAGGCATACTCGGCGTCCCCCAACCCGTGCGGCTKGTGCTCGTTGGCACTGACCATGCGGGGTGACGGGTGCCGCATGCGTGCGCTAACCAAGAGCTACCACCTCCGAATCCAGGGTGTTATGCGACTCCCGTGCCCACTGGATGAGTTGCAGCCGGGAGGTTAAATTC